AACGATAGGAAGGTGGTACAAATAATGGACAAGATTTATAGAAGTGAAAGAGCATCTTTGTGTGAGAGGATAAGGGTTTCCTGTCCCGAGGGAAGTGAAGAGGATGGTGAAATGCCAATGCATGCATCACCTAATTTATAATAAATTATAGTATACACTGTAAGTTCTGCTTCACTCAAACTGCAGCTACAATCCAAAAACCCTAAAATAAACCAAGAAATAGCCATCGGATCACGGGAAGGGAGCGTGGTCTCTGTATGTCTATGACTCATCATCCTGTGAATTCCAATTCAATCGTATCCTTTAACATTTTGGCAAATTACATTCCTTAATCCATGAGCTTTATAGTTTCTATCGTTTAAGTCATTGAACTATAATAAGTTTTAGTTTTGCCACTATACCTTTTGAATTGATTTTGTTATCATTAGATCATTAAGCAATTGACAGCCAGATGACGTAGTATTTTTTTTTTTGCTTAAATGAAGTCACAACAAATATCTTTCTATCCATTTGCTGGGTTGACATGTAATTTTTCTTATTCTTTTAACTTCTCATATTCATCATCAAAATCTAGGGGGTTTTTCTTCATTTTCCCGTTGTTGAAAATTGTTCTTTGACATCCTTTACAGTCACCTTAGACATTGTCATCATTGATCTATCAATCTAGTTTTTGTTTTTCAAATCCTCTTAAAAACTCACAAAATTAAACATAAAAATTCACATTTTTTTAGAGTTTGGATGTTCGGCCAAAAATCCAAACATTGAGACAAGAGAATTAGAAGATCGAATCTTTCGATGAACTTTTGTATGTTTTGTACGGATTTTATAGAAAACCAATCCAAAAACTGAAAGAAGAGGAAATACAAATGTTTTGTAGTAATTCAATAAAATTTGATGACCTATTTTATAAGTTTTAAAAGTTTAGTGACCAAAACAAATCATTTGAGTATTGTTTAATTACCCCTAATGTACTTTACCCTTAATTTTTCTCTTATGTTAATTGTTTGGTATTTTTTCATTATTGGGATTATTACAAAGTAGTATCTAATAAAAATTTTCTTAATCAATTAACAACAAACATACTCTACAGAGACAAGTACTACTCAAACCTAGAATCTCTATGAGAATAATATTTCCTTTTACAACTAAAGTCGCTTCATGAGTTAATCCTATAGTATTTTTTTTTATATAGTGCACGGGGCATCTAGGGCAACTAGGGTCCAAGTAACGTTACTTCTTAGCTAACTAAGAAACAACAATCACAAAAAATGCACTGCAGCTGCCATTGCAGTAGTTTTCTCTCTTGTAAAACTATTTATTTGATGGGAGAGGTAGATGACTCAACCACTTGTTTGGGGCTAGTTTCTAACTCCTGGTTTTTGCACAACATGTTTAACAACTGACGCACGTTCCTTTTGAGAATCCGATGCGGTGGCGAGCCAGCGACTTGTTTAGGAGGAGATCGTGTCGGTTTATCATTAGAAGACCATCCCATAGCAGTTGCTTCAATCAGGGAGAGCCTAATACCATCACCGGTATGCAGCTCTGCAGATAGTCTGTTTTGTAATGATTAATTTTAGTTATGAATTTATTGTATTCATAATTTCATTTGTATACTTACCTTATTTTTTAATTATAGTTATTTTTAATTAAACTATATAGAGATGAAGATGGAATGGAGACGGACGAGATTATATCATCCATATAAATAAACGAAGTGTTTGATGAATTGTTTGTAAATCGTTCATTTAATGTTTGTTTATTAAATTAAATAAACAAATACGAATGAAATTTTTTAGATCTGTTTAATAAACGAAAAAAAAACGAATAAAGATGTATTTAATTTGTTTATGTTCATGAACAAACTTGTTTATCAATTTATTTACAAATTCGTTTATTTGATTCTCATTTTCTTTTTATTTTTTACATTTTAAATATTCAACAAGTAATAAACTTTGAAATTCAAAGCTTAAAGATCATTTTTCTTGTTCAAAGCTTAAAGATCATTTTTCTTCAACTTACAAATAATAAAGTAAAAAGAGAGTATTGATGGTTGAAGGGACTCAAACTGTCAAATATGTGCTCCTCAGCAATGGTAGAGTCATGCCCTTGCCGCTTCGTCTGGATGTTAAAATCGAAGTATATTAACCTTATTATAACACAAAAAATCCTTTCCTCTCTCACTATATTTTTCTTTTTATTTTAACCATTAAACGAATATGTTCGTGAACGTTAGACGAAAATATTTTTGTGAACATTAAATGAATGGAATATGAACTTTTTAAAAATAGACAAATTAACACAATATTAAAAATTTAAACGAACATAAATCGATCAATAACACCTTTAAAAACAAACAAACAAACATGAATATAATCTTATTCATTCACACCCGTTTCATTTACGCCCTATCTATTTGTATATTAATATATATGTTGAAAACATCTACGTCTATAAATATAATTTATATTTATATGTGTGCGAGAGAAGCTTCTCCGCATAAGAATATGTAAGTAATTAAAGATACAAAAAATACATGTAAAAATCAAATTCATAGGTGCCTAACATATCCAATGGAATGAGTAAACCCTATAACATGCCTTAAGTACGTACAAGGAAAATCTAACGTGCCTACTTAAACTACCTACAAATGAATAAACTTTAACCAAAATACAGACCTTGGTGCACAAGTAAAACCCAGCACCAAAGCATTCTGATCTTTCGATTAATCCATCCCTCCAAATATCACCCAGAAAAAAAGAGAGAGAAAAAGGGTCAAAAGGGAAGAGAACAAGGTAATACATCTAATTACACATCATCTTCATCTTCTCAACATTCTGATGATTCTGGATAATCAAAGGCTTGGTGGTTCTGTAAATGAAATCGATCGATTTAAACCTCTTTTGTCTCGGCTGAAACTGTTCTTCTTCCTCCTCCAATGGATTGTTTTCATCTTCTTTCGCTTTCTTTGATAACCCTCTATCGCCATTGATGTCGTCTTTGTATATTCTACAGAGTTGCATCAGCTGGAAAGCCACGTCCATCTCTATCTTGGAGAAACTCGTTGGTGATTTGCGTTTCAATGGAGATGAGATTTGTTTCGCCATTGTTTCGTGTTTTGAATTGGAAAGATGAACTGTTAAGGAAGAGATGCAAGGGACTTCGTTTTTATAGTCGAACTTTAACCGACCTAATTCTCCTGGCCGGCATTGCTGATGTCATGGTCCCACACGTGTACATAAACGATTGCATCAAGTTTTAGATCAAAACTTTATATGCAAGTTATTAATGTAGTTAAAAGCTTTTTCAAACCAAATCGATGGTTAATAGTTTATTGTTATCGTTTGAGTATGATGTTTATAAAAGTATACAAACATTTATTTTTAAGTAGTTGATAGTTTTTTGAATCGATATTACATTATTATATATACCTTAAATTAATTAAAAAGTCAATTTTTTTATATAAAAATATTTGTGTTTAATGTATTCGGATGTATGATCTTTAGAGATATAAATTGAATAAAATTTGATTAATTAGTATAATATTTCATTTAAATATTTATATTAAATAGAATTTATATTTTTCATTATATATGTCGGAATTTATATTTTTTTATTTCTATTAATGTTACTTTACTGTTAATTAAACATGATCAAATATTAGCTCTTTCTATCAAAGTATCAAAGCCCAGAAGTATTTGAAGGCTGGACTGTTTTGTGGGCTTCTCTTGGAAAAGGGCTAAGCAAATTCCCGAAAAAGAAAAACTAGAAGGAGATGTGTATATTTCGGCCCCAAAAGTAAATATATCCTCTACTATCTAATATGGTTTACGAGTAATCAAATAATAACTTAATTAGTACGAATCAAATGATCTCATTGACTAAATAATTTGTTGTTGTTAATTGAGATTTTGAGTTCGAGTACCACTCATATATGAGTATGAGCATTTATTATTAAAGAGTTAAAAGTCTTTAAACAAATATTATATTGTATACACCCTAGATTTATCAAAAGAAATATTAACTTAATTAAAAATATTTTTTAAAAAGATAGCTAATATTGATATAATGATTTTTAATAACATTCAAATTTGATATAATATTTTAAATAAAATAATTAAAATATGTTATCTATAGATCAAATTCAACGATAATTCGATTAGTCAGTCCGTCAACACACCTTATTTTTATTTATATGATGGGAGTTACTTCACACAGTGTTTGATATAGTATCGAATACTTGTAGGGATAATGAGGAATAGGCCACAGAATATTTTCGACTTACTCGAATCTAATTTAACACGATTTTAATAAAATTCATTTTTAACTCAATTTAGAAATTTAATTAAAAATAAAATTATGACTTGACTAAATTTAACATGATTTTTATTTTTTTGCATCTTTTTATTAAAATAAAAATAATTAAACACCGTATTAATTTATTCAATTTAATAATAAAAATAAAATAAAATTTAAATTAATGTAATAATTATACTATCTTACCTTATGTGTTAATATATATATATATATATTTCTACTAAAATCTAACTAATAGTATATAAATATATAAAAAGATATTTTGTAAATATTTCATGATGAGTTTTCCGTAAACCTAACCCAAAAAAAATCCAAATTTCGTAAATAAAATTCAACCTATTAGATCAAATTATATAAAAAACAATCGAATACGATTTTTTTTGCCCCTATAACCATTAAGATAATAACCAATAAGTATAATAATATTATATATTTAATGTCATTTTTATAGTCTTAAAGTCGAATAAACTTTAACACTTAATATTCAAAAATATATAATTAATTAAGGATTTATTTAAAAAAATAAAATTAAGTATGACTTCCATGATATTTTTTTTTTGGATTCCATTCGGTATATATATATATATATATATATATCAATTCAAATTTAGAATCTAAATTCTCATCTCATTAAAAAAAACTCACACGTACAACATACACATTGTTCCCCCACTCCCCCTTTCTTCTGATATTTAGCATGATTCAATTCCATACAAATAACAAAAAGAAAAAGTCATGACCAAAAATATTCTTTAATGAATGAGTGGTCCAGTGTGAGTTTGGGCAGCCATGGCCAGCTCGAACTGCCTCAACGAAATAGAAGGGAAAGCAATAAAATTACGGTCCATGGGGCTGAAATCTTGCCAATCCTTAAACGGATTGCTGCTTGTGGTGGTTGTAGTGGTGGTCGTGCCATCCAATCCTATGTGTGTAACATGTTTCACATCTGTCGGATACCCGATTTCCATCTCCGCTGTCACTTCTTCTATCTCTTTGTAAACTGAAATTCCAACGAAAAAAGATCGGTGATCGTATTAATCATCTATGTTGAATACATATTCCAATACATACATGAATTATAATAATTGTATCAAACTTACCAAATAACTGAGAGAAACTTTTTACAGTAATCCTGACCAATCTGTGTATCCCACTGGAAATGTTGGGTTTTGAAAGACTCAACCAACCAAATGAGTTCTTTGTTCTTCCCTTGGATGAACAATCTTCTCCCACTACATGTATATATCAGACAAAACCCAAGTTTATAGACATCAAAAACGATAAAGATTTTTGTTTGTTCTTTTCAGACAGAAGATGAGAGAGATGATCATACTTGTTGGATCTTGACCAGTTGGTTCTGGTTTTGGTTTCCTCGGTGGACTTTTGCCAACTGCAACACTTGCCTGAGAAGAACAACCGGTGGAGAAAGGAAGAACAACAAGCCTTTCCATTCGCTCTTTCATCTCTTTCATTTTAGGAAAGCAATCTACTTTTATCATCAATAAGAATGAGTATATATTAGGGTTGGATTTTGGCTTTATCAACAAGCTAGAATGATTTTGGTATGGAAAATGAAAATATTATTTTATGTCGATTTAATTATTTATATTCATTAAAATTAATCAGATATCATTGATTATATTACAATTCGATAGAAAACAAGAATTATAATTTTAATCTCGGGAAGTTAATCTACACTTGTCATCACATGGAGAGCATATGAAGAAAGAGATAGAGAGAGAGAATGGGTATGATTGGGGTTTGGTATAAAGTTGGTTAAACTGTGCAACTCAACCTAATGGTTGCTGATATAAGCCTACTGAAAACACTTGTTCATCATTGTTTTAATGTGTTGGTGGGATCAGTACACTTGTATTCCAAGCCACTATTTTTATTTTTTAACCTCGATCGGAATTTTATTGAAGTATATGCTATTTTTCTAATTAAATAAAATCTGTACACATCTTATAAATAACATTATTCGAATTCAAGTTACTAAATCATCCTGTACCACTAAAACTGCTTTTTGGGTTAATTTTGAAACCACGGCTGATTGATCATTTTCATGCAATCAATTTCACTCTCAAATTGGACTGACCTAATAGGTATATATAATGTCATCAATCATAGAGTGAATCCCAAGTGACTTCACCATCAAATTCAATGATAGTCTCAAGTATTCCTTAGTTTCAAATAAAGAAAAAAAAAGTAGAGTATTAAGAGTTGATTAGTGTTGTTAGCTAACTAGTTATAGCTCTCAATTAGATTGTGGAATGATTGTTGGATCAACATTGATACATTTTCCTATATACTTTAAGTAATTGACTTCAATAAATTAATGGAATGTAACTGTCATACCTAAGAGTTAATTAGTGTTGTTAGCTAACTAATTATAGTTCCATATTAAATTACGGAATGTTTCTTTTTCACATTTAAGTGTTAATATTAAATATATTTTAAGTAATTGACTTTAATAAATTAGATGTAATTTTAAATATCTATAAATTGAGATTTGAGTATCTTTGATAATTTTAATCATTATTATCGATATTTAATATTTTGGGCTTGACGGAAGATTGGAGGATTGGAGTTATAAAGACTGCACCACTGGTCCGCAAAGAACCTTAACTATGCTGGAAGATTGGAGCTAATAAAGACTGTCTTGTCCAATTTATCAAATTCCTGGTACAGACAAATATTTATGTCAAGTTCGATCTTAAAGAGAATAGAGCAACTTTACTCTCGGTTTTTCTGGAAAGGGTCTGACACTAATGCTACTAGAGCAAGAGTGAACTGGAAAAATATATGCTTCTTGAAATCCGAAGGAGGGATCGAGATTAAGGATATGAAATCATGGAACAAAGCATGCATGATCACTCTTATTAAACACATTCTAGCTGGGGAAGGATCCCTTTGGGTTGCCTGGCTCCACCACTACGTCTTCAAGGATAAGAACTTCTGGTCTGTCGACATCAATTCCACATCAAGCTGGAGCCTCAAGAAACTCCTTAAACTCAGACCTGAGGCTCAACAAATTCTTACACCTACTGCAAACAAAGCTGGTAAAATCTGGGATTCTCTTCGGGAGAAGAAGGCAAAGGTACACTGGCAGAAACTTCTATGGTTCCCACTGCACATTCCCAAACACAGCCTGATAACTTGGATGGCTTTCCTTGATAAGCTCCCAACGAAGGTCCGTCTTCAACACATAGGGCTCATCAATGAAAGCCACTGTATTTTCTGCAATTCTGATCTGGAAACTAGGGAGCATCTTTTTCTTAAATGTCCTAATGCTATCTTTATCTGGAATGCAGTGTTATCACTCTCTGGTTTAATTTTTCCTGACTGTTCTTGGGATGTTTTCACGGTATGGGCAAGCTCCACTTGGAAAGGAAAGTCACTGCTCACATTGATCATGAAAATATCATTCAACGCAACCATTTACATGATATGGGAAGAGAGAAACAAAAGGGTGTTCCAACAAATAGCTCGGTCTACAGAAGAAATTATCAAGGCCATTAAAGACACTGTCAGCCTGATTCTAAGGGGTAAAAATATCAATAGAATAGATCCTGTTAATATTACTTTATGTAATCAATGGGGTTTAGAAGAACATTGATTCTTTTGTAAGTATTTTGTAGTTGTTTTGGAACCCTGATTGTATTTTTGAAGCAATCTTTGCTCTTTGGATATAAAATCTGATTTATCCAAAAAAAAAAAGCTAAAAAACTTACATTGAAAATTTGATTTTTGGAAGGGACTAATAGTGCAATTATTCCCTTGAACCAATATTTGCATTGATCTCGGAGATGACTTTTGAGTTATGATATGCATTGATTTGTAAAGGCCGAACCCACCTAATTAGTTACATTGTAACGATTTATAAGCCTTGCTTTTTTTAAATTGAGAAGACAAAATTAAAAGGAAAATCAAAATTTTGGGACTTAAATGTAAATATCCAGAACTGTTAACGCGACCTATTACACAATATTTTTCTTACGGAAAAACACAAAGCAGTAGTACAATAAGTAACAACAAAAAATGTCTTATAATATACGATTTTAACCAACTTTTTTTGGATTTGCCAAAATGACCAACTAAATCGCAATGCGATCGACAATTCGCAACGCGATCTCCAGTATCGCAAATCAGTTTCCAGATTCGCAACACGATTCTGACTATCGCATTGCGATTTCCCAAATTCGCGTTGCGATTTTCCTAATTTGCAATGCGAATTCGCAAATCGCAATGCGATTACGTAAATCACAATGCGATTACGTAAATCACAATGCGAATTACGTATTCGCATTGCGATTTTCCTAATTCGCATTGCGATTTACGTATTCGCGTTGCGATTTTCATAATTCGCAATGCAAATACGTAAATCGTAATGCGAATTAGGAAAATCTCAATGCGAATACGTAAATCGCAATGCGAATCTGACTATCGCAATGCGATTTACATAGCGCCATTCGTATTAACGCGTATTTTTTCTCAAATTCCAAACACGAATTTCTTAATATATCGGAAACTGAACCGTCCACAGTAATCACAACTCATAACCTCAAACCTAAAATCACAACACTCAGTCCCATCTCCATCTCATAACCTCAAACCTAAAATCGCAACTCATAACCTCATAACCTCAAACCTAAAATCCCCATCTCTGAAGATTTCCGTCCCCATCGCCGGCGAAATCCCTCACAACCATTCACGGTCATAAATCCCTCGCAATTATTCAGAAATGGAAAATCAACCTCCGAGGGTTAGTTTTTTTAATTATTTTTATTTTGAAAATTTTGCATTATTTTAGGTTTTTCATATATTGATGATAAGTTTACTGGTAATTTCAATAATAGATTAACCATTTCACTTAGATTTCTTATTAAATTCATTCGATTGCTGCCAATACTGCTAAACTGTTTAGTCTTTAACCCTGTGAAGTTAGTATTTGTCTTTGTTTTGTCTTTTGGTTGAAGTAATGCAGAAGAAGAATAGTTTCGAGAATGAAAATCGCAACGCGGAAATGACTATCGCAACAAGAGAATCGCAACGCGAAATGAAAATCGCAACGAGATAATCGCAACGCGAAATGAAAATCGCATTGCGATTTTAGTTTCGCATTGCGATTCTATCGTTGCGATTTTCATTTCGTGTTGAGATTCTCTCGTTGCGATTTTCATTTCGCGTTGCGATTCTCTCGTTGCGATTTTCATTTCAACCAAAAGACAAAACAGTGTTGCAAATTTTAGTTTCAAGAATAAACTACTATTTATGTTTATTGTTTTTGGTATATCTTCACAGTGTAGTTTTTGGTATATCTAACTTGGTATGTTTATTGTTTTTGTAGAAATTTTTTTCGGCTTCATTGACATTAAGGAATAAAGTTAGCCTAGCCACTACAATTGCTTCGAAGCTTTCACCTGCACAAAGAAAATTGTTTGAGGAAACCTGCTTCGGGCCATGGCTGAGAGTACAGCATCCGGGTGGAGATACTAATTTGACCCATTTGTAGCTTTAGACCATGACTAGCGATCTACCCGATAGTATACAACATGGTGAGGAAGAGATATGGTTTCATTTTCCACTGGCGTATACTTGTTTTGGGCGGAAGGAGTTCTGCTTAATCACTGGTCTACGATTCGGACACGATGATGTAGGCCGGTATACTCGTCATATCACCCGCCCATCATGGTTATCCAGGGTTTTTCCTGATGAGTCAATAGAGAAGCCAAACTTACACGTCGACGACCTGAAGAAATTGTTTAATAAGAAAGATGGTTTTACTCTGATGAATGACGTCGATGTTGTCCGAGTATGCCTTCTACGACTTTTGTATGCCGGCTTTTTAGGCAGAGAGGCCAGACAACCTATTCCTCAGGAGCTAATATTATTGGTAGATGACCTAAATGCATGAAATCTGTTTCCGTGGAGTTCGTCTATATGGAAAGCTACCTGGACTAAGTTGTCGTCTGCCTTTGATGACCGCAAAAGTTTGCGTGGCGATGGGTCGAAATACACTTTGTCAGGCTTTGTTTGGGCCTTTAAGGTAAGAATTTCTATGAATGTTTTCAAAATTATAATTAATTATTTAACAATTACTAATGTTTGCTATTATATTGTTTGTAGATTTGGATATTCGAGGCTTTCTCCAGCATGCGGACATATGCATTAAAAACTTCAAATGATATTCCTAGGGCTATTTCCTGGAAGAGGAAACGTCTGTTGGATTAGGAAGACTTAATACCATATGCGACAATAAATAATGTAAGTTAACACAAATACTATAATATATAAACAAGTTATTAATAGTAGACGTTTAACTTTGTTTGAGTTTTTATATTTTTAGGAGGCCAACACTCCATTAATGAGACTGACACCCACGGAGGCTGAGCTTGCCACTGATTGGTAGCAAGCTAGTCAGCGTTTTCTTGATGGCACGAATGATGAGCAACCTCCACTTCCTCCACTTCGAGAGCCATCACCTCAC